GTAGTACTCGAACCCATGAAATTCGAAGGATTCATCCCCAAGAACTCACGAATTCTTGACGTCTCAGCTCCTTTATGTCGAGCTCCCCTTTGCTGACCAATCTGATTAGTTACAACTTGACTCAAAATTCTAATTGCCTCTCTGAACTCGGAATTAGAAACTTCCTCTTGCGGTTGCATTCCTGAGGCATAAGGTAACTCTTGCTCCTCAACATAACGTCTAGAAAGACGCCCTCTACCAACTCTTCGTGGAGGCATGATTATCTGAAAAAACTCGCAAGCACGAATTAGAAATAAACTTTTTAGAGATCAACTCTAACGCACGAGATGAGTGTGAAAGAAGTGAGAAATCTTCCTAAATGTTGCAGCCTCCTAATTATATATGTGGCGCGCTTCACACCGATAACTAGGACTCTACAGACACGACTTCATAGACTCCCTAGGACTCTTGAACTCTGGGCTCTGATACCAAGTTTGTCACACCCCGAGCCTACACCCTGGACGTGGCCGGCACTCGAAGACCATTGCTGGCCCCAAGCGAACCCTTGGCCTGAATTTCTTAACTCAGTGGAAACCTAACTTAACAGAATAACTCCATGCAAATGCAAGGACATATAATAACTTAATTGATAAAATCTGGCCTAAAAGGCAACTCGAGTCCCAAAATAGAATATTTACATATATACATAGATGAGAGACTCAAACTAACTAACTGATTGGCTGTCTATAAAGCCTCTATAACACTGAGATGGATGTTGGGACAGACCCCGCAACATCCTAATAAAACAAAACTAGGAGAACAAAATAACCGAGTCCTCCGAAATGCAAAGAGGCTCACCACTGACTCTGGAGTGCTCAACTGAATCAATGGCGTGCTGGATGCTGGTCCTGGGTACCTGTGTCTGCATCATCATAAGATGCAGGCTAACTGGCATTAGTACATTGAATGTACGAGTATGCGAGCTGGAAAACTAAGCAACACAGGCTAGAAGGAAATCTGGAATAAACTGAATAGCTTACCTGGCTCAACTCAACTCAACCTGACTGACTTCTTTCAATATAAGGCAATTTAAAACAAGTGCGATATAAAGAAAGATTGTTTAAAACCTGATATAAACTCTGTGTGTATACAAAGATACAATAAGCCTGAGATGTATATAGAAATACAAATGAACTGATGTATATAAAAATACAATACTTTCTGTGCATAAAAATACAATAACTATTGTGGGAGTTTCTTTAACAGACAACCATCACATAAGAGCTATAGTGATGATACTACGATCAACCTCACGCTGCCAGACCATCCTATACCCGACCAAAGGTATAAGACCTGAACTGCCTAATGGATCCACTAGTCTAATCTGAAAAGGATTCATCTAAAAAGTATGAACCTCTTCTACCCATGGTGGCTACATGGTTTTATGGGGGCTGTGGGTTCTTTGAACGCTCCCCCAACTCGGTGCTCGATACTACTCCCAAAAATGTACTGGCTCTTATGTTTTTAAAACAAAAAACATACTTCTTCCTGTTGATTTGAGATAATTACTCAAAAACTTAGCTCAAAGGCTATCTTGGAAATCTCAGTTTTCTCTCTTGCTTCATTTAGAAAGTGATAACTCTTTTTCTGGAAAACTAGCCTAAAAGTTCTTTGGAAATCTCAGTTTCCAATCTTGTTTAAATGTGAAAACATTTCTTTGAAACTTCTTTGGGAATACTTAGTTCCCTAATAACTTTTGAGAAATGAACTCAACTTTGTACTCTTGACTTAACTTGAAACTCTATACTCTTTGCTTGACTTGAAACTTGAGCCTTAAAACGAAGTTAAAACGTTCAATAAAGACTCTTGAACAACTTTGAAAACTTGCTTTGACTTACTTCTTAACTTCTAACTTAACTTGACTTTGATCCGAACTCGCCTTGATTGGATTATGGATTCAAGGTATATGACCACACGTTTATGGATGAGTTCTTGACGTTTAGACGTACTTTGGAATGTGGAAAACAACTATAAAACATAGGTACATTACCAACGAATATGTATGAAAAAGTTGGGAATGAAAGGGAAAACTTGACGTCTTTGGCGCTCTGAGAGGCGCGGAGCGCCAGGCCACAAAGCTCAGAAGGGGCCTGCTGGTGCTCTGCTAGGCGCGCCGCCCCAAGGGCTAGGCTTCAGAGCCCCTTTTGGGGCGCGCTGTCTGGCGCGACGCCCCAGCCCTGTTCCTAAATTTTTTTGACTTTTCTCCTTCTTTTTCCCCACTCTAAACCTTCTAAACTTCAAAGTTTCCAGCCCCAAACACTTAGAATCATAAAACCCCTCAACATACACTAGATTCAACTCAAAATCACAACCGAAAACATGTCCCAAAACAACAAGGAACTTCAACAACACAACCAATAACTTCAACACACACACAACCACAAACTTCAACATCACAACCAATCTTTTCTCGGATATTAAAAATGATTTTGGCGTGTGGGGGAAAGAACCAACCCAACACTATGATCTCACATACCTTAATAGGGATCACCCCCGACGAAATCCACGTCGATCTTTTATGAAACCTTGCTTGATCTTCTCTTTCTCTTCTTCTTCTCCTCTTTACTCACAAACCCTCACTCTCACTCTTTAAAATGGGACAAAATGATCTGAAAATCAATCTAACACAACAATATAACAAAAAGAATTGGTTAGGGAAAAGACCAAAATACCCTTAAAATTTCCGGATGGACTTTCCTGCTAACTGCCCAACTTCCAACGGGCATAACTCGGAATCGAGCAAACTCGGTGGCGTTGGAAAGACCAGTCCACAAACTTTGCAAAAATAACTGGAATTACACCTAAATCATCCTGAGTTAGGAGTTATAACTGTTCAAAGTTGGCCAAAACTCACTTTTTCCCATACTTAACCAAATTTTCCAGATTTTTAAATTCCTTCCCAAAAGTGACTATTTCCAATTCTAAGCCTCTTCAGAGTTATTTCAAATTATCGGATGTTACACCTTGGGTGGGACCCGTATCTGTCCTAAAATGCTTATTTGGAAAGAGAGAGCGTCACAATTTGAAAATTTGGAGGCGATAATGTATTTGATAAGAATACTTTGATACTAGTGACAGTTTGAGAGTAAGGTAAATGACTGGTGTAGTTATGATGTTGTTGGTATTAAGAGTGTTAGATTCAATGAAGTACTGTGAGAAGTATGTGGGGTTTGATGAATGTAGTATTTGTAATATTGTAATGGGGTCAGTCTAGTTGATTGTTGGTAGCTAAAAATCAAGAGATAGAGTCGAATGGATAGAATTTTATTCATATGGGCACTATGGAAGAAGTATCTTGTGTTATTCGACCTCTCTTCTGTATATTCTTATGTGACCACCTTCTTCGTACTTGATATTATTTGGAGTATGATTCACCACTTATGCTACTCGTGTTTCCACATCTATGGGTGAATCCCTAGTGGTGGATCAGATGTACCGATCCTCTTGTGCCCTCTTGATAGGGTATGATCCTTGGAAAGACTGTCATTTCAGTTATGATAGATTTGGTGTTGTTTGGGATAGTTGAAGTATATCGGTAGTTCTATACGCACAACCTTACTTATGAGAATTTATATAAGAGCTATGAAGAGTTACAATTGTCTAAGTTTTACATTTTAAGTGTATCGCTTGTTGGGTGTTTACTTCATTTCCTTCTTTGTGTTAGATAAGTGTGATCCTCTCTTGATGGGTACCCGATGTCTAAAGATCAATTTTTATAGTTTAAGCTCGGGAAAAGATTGTGCTGTGAGAAGGAAATCTTGAAAAGATCTGTGATGGTTTGTGCATTGTGAGCGTCTGGTGGTTGATTCAGGCTCATTTCTGGTTGTACTCAATATTGATTCAGAAGGTTATCTTGGTCATGTGAGAAAATATTCATCATGATGATTGTGTTAGGGTTCAATGGGTTTCGATTTAGATTGGATTCATGGGTTAGTATGTGGCTTGGTAATTACTCCTGATTTATAGATTTGCCAAAGTTTGGAAAGTTCAGTTCTTAGTAGTTGATCTTGATGGAATGGTCTTAAGGAGGAACTCACTTGGAGAGATGAACAACCAACTGGTAGGTCATAACTTAGGCTTTTGGTAACGTCGGTTATTCTTCCTTCTTCTTTTATATGTTCGAGAACGAACATGGTTTTTAGTGGTGGATAATGTAATGACCCGGAAGGTCATTTTTGGAAATTTTGAATATCCATTCAACTAGACTGAACTAATTGATGGTTAATTATTAAATAACTAATTTTAGTTAATGCTTAATGGGTTAAGTTTATAATTAGTTTAATACAACTTGACCCATATAGGAAAATAATTATTAGGGTTGAAAATTATTGGGTCATAATTAAAAAAAAAGAAAAGAAAAAGAAAAAGAAAAGAGAACGCAAGAACTCAGCGGACGAAAGCGAAAGAAAAGTTCGTGGAGAACTTGTGCGGCGGGAACAAGGAGTATTTTAGGTAAATAAATAAATATGTATACAAATTGTTGCATATATTATATATATATATTGATGGACTAGAGCGTATTGGTTAAATTGCTATGGTTGGCGGATGAAACTCTACTAGGATATGAGACTTTTCTTTGATGTTAGTTAATAGTTTGGGGAAATTAAGGTGAAATTGTTGTATGTTAGTTAAAATGGGTTGTGAGTTGTTTTGGAAATGAATGGTAACGGTGGGTGCTAATAGTATTGTTATTATTATTATATTCCTTTTTTGTTTGCTGTCAATTTTTGGGGATTAAGGGAATTGAATTGTTAGAAGTATATGTATAATTATTTTCCATACATGCTACCTACAGTTTCAAGTAGTAAGTTGAACGCTCACTAAAGAAGTTAGATTGTTACTCTATTTAAGTTAAGGCCTAATTGATTTCTTGGGAAAATAATAATGTCATTGTTGTTCGTATTTTTGTGAATGTCAGTAGATTTACGATATTTGAAGGAATTGGAAGAATTGATAAGTTAATGGGCATCAAGAGTTAGGAACTTAATTATAAATTTGGGTAAGCTTTTGGGTCTAGGCTAAACCTATAGTGACATGAGTGTTGTTAGTTTCGGAATCTTATTGTGACTATGTACTTGAATAGATTGCATTGATTTGAAAGCTCAACGAAAAGGGAAGGCTCAAGTCTCGGAGTGTGTTCGATTATTTGAGGCAAGCGGATTTCTAAACCCTTGTTAAGTGTATGGAATTCGTGTATTTGGGGGTGATGAGACTTGGTGATGGGTTGACTTGTCCACATTGATTAATTCTAATGATGAAAAAGAGGTAATAAAAGACAATGTGATTAATTGTTTGTGTGTGATGTGTTGAGAATTGAGAATGGAGAATGGTTTGAAAGACTTGTCGAATCATTGTTGCTGTTGTATCATGATTGTGTTGTTGTGAATTGTGCAATGTCATGAAAATGGTCATCTCCTCATCTATTTTGTGTGAACATGTCATTTGCATTATTCTGAGACATGGTTGTGATAAGTGTTATGTGATAAGAGGATGTACCATTTCGAGGGACGTATCACGCGCCGCGATGGATATTATATTTCGAGGGACGTATCGCGCGGCGCGATGGTTACTATTATCGAGGGTCGTATCGTGCGCCGCGATGGATGCATGGACAAATATGTCCCCCATGGGTCCCGGACTGAGAGACAACGGGTGTGTATCATTAGGTCAGACATCCATCACTATACTTGACATTGCATTTCATTGCATTGCACTTCTTTATTATTGGTAAACTTGATCTTGTGTGTTGCTGATCTTGTGAGTGCCTTTCTGTGGAACTTGTGGCTGATGAATATTGAGCTTGTTGTTGAAGATATGCAATTGTTAGAGTGTTGTTGTTGAGGATATGAAACTGTTGTTGTTGTTGAGGATATGAAATTGTTAGAGTGTTGTGTTGAGCTATATGCTTTGTAAACTGTGAACTGTTATGTTGGGCTGGTTTTAAGCAGGTTGTAGTTGTGGAGGTGGTAATTGATGAATATTGAGCTTGTTGTTGAGAATATATGATTGTTAAAATGTTGTTGTTGAGATATATGCTTGTAAATTATGAACTGTTAGGTTGGGCTGGTTTTATACAGATTGTAGTTGTGAAGGTTCGGTTGGAGCGTAAGGAGTACTCGTATTCTATCCCCTTAGCTCGTGTTTAGAGGTTTACTTGCTGAGTACCGTGTGGTTTGGTACTCACCCCTTGCTATTACATTTTTTTGTAGGTTAATAGCCCAGACCTTTGTGGTATTTTCTCTTCTCCTTGTCCGAGTCTTCTTGTGGAGGTTTGTGAGGTAGCTGTTTTTTTATTTCAGCGGACCTTCTTTCTTCTTAATTATGATCTTGTTCTATTCTAGAGACAAGTTCATTTGAGACTTGTGTTTTCTTTTGAATCAATTGTAATACTTTAGAGGCTTGTACACGTGACAACCAGATTTTGGGGGTATTTGTTTTAGTTGATTTTGAATTTTTCCGCATTATATAGTAATGGTTGAGTTTTAGGCTGACTGGTCTTGGTGAGATAAGACGAGTGCCATCACATCCATTTTTGGGTTGTGACATTTTCTGATTTATTTTACACATCAAAATTTTCCAATAATACTTCTACTTCTATATTACAAAATATTTTTTTAAAAAAAATGGGTCTAAAAAGGAAAGTTGATTTCAGAAACAGACATAAAAGGTTGTAAGGATTTATTTCATGAAATGTTTTGTGAAAAACCACACCATCTTCCAAATGTTGTACCACAAACTATTCAAGCAGTTGATTTACATGAAGGCGATTGGGGTACCGTTGACTCAAATGTTAACTGGAACTATACTATCGATAATATTTTGTAATCATATTTTTTTTAATTGAATCGTATGTTCACATTATTTATTTTGATTAGCGATTATTTATAACAATTTCTCTATTTATAATCGAAAAGTAGGACTATTCTTCCTCCCAATTAGCCTAATTTTATAAGTAAGCATTTGTAGTTGACCTTGGAATGGAACAAATATAGTTAACTAAAATTTACTTCAAAATATTAGAAATAAAAAGATAAACAAAAAATTAGAACTCGATTATTATTAATAAATTTTTTATTTGGCTAAAACAATAAGCTCTAGCAAATATGTTTAAAAATAAATTTGGCCCGGAAAATAAATAAAATACAGATGCTCGGTTATAATAAATAATCATTGCATCTAAATAAAAAGTAAAATTAAATACACAAATTAAATATTATTTTGGACAAATACTTCAAAAATAATTTAAGTATACACTAAATAAAACGTTAACATAAAGGATAATTCGATCATATAATTAATTTGGGTACCAAACAACGATTTTACTTCTCTTTGAGCCGATAATAATATTTATTTGTATTCTTGATTATGTTCATTTATAAATAGTAAATCTTCAAAAATATACCGTCCAACAAAAATTTTTATGTCATGTAATTCAATATTTGGAGATAAACATCACATATAATGTATCAACTTGTATAAATGTATAATTTTCCGCTCTTTTTTTTTTCCATAAAAAATAGAGGGGGAGAAGAAGGTTGTTAAGGTGGTTGTTGACGACATAAATGTATAATTATTTTATTGTGAATGAGGGATTTTCATATTCTCTATGAAAGTGGTGTTTGCTCAAGTTGAAGAATTCTAAGTGGTTGTGCTTGTTGATGTTTGTGTTTCTCATAATGATGTAATTTGCTTTGTTGTGTTTTCATGAAATAAATGTAATTTGCTTTGTTGATTTTGTTGATATTGTTTCTACAAAACAATATAGACGAGATACGGAGAGCATAATGTTGAGATCATCTTATTCAAATGTCTTCAAGTTTTTAACAATGGTGAATGAACAATCTTATTTATAGGTTGAGAAATCACTCCAAAAATCACCATATTAAGTGTCATAATAAATAGATACATTCTTATCCAAAATGGTTCATAGAACCTATAATACACATACATATACATGAATGTAATTAGTTCACTATTGAGAATATGGACGATCCACTAATTCAATGAATTTATAACAAAAAGGAAATAATGTTTTTATTAGTAATTGTATTTAGAGATGTAGTTTTTATTCATAATGTATAAAAAAGTTTAAGGGCAACAAAAACATTATTTCAAACAGAAACTAATTATCCATTCATGCAGATTGATACAAAAAAAATAATACTCATCTAAAAAAATTATAAAAATATCATATTCCAAAAATAAAAATGCTTAATTATTTTAATTTTTTTAAAAATAATTTCAAAAAAGAAAACACCTAAAAATGATATCAGCCAAATACTATTACGTGGTAATTTTTTTTAAAAAAAATTGACAACTAGAAAAAAGGAGGAAAGAAGAATCAAATAGGAGATTGATACTACTTATTAATTAGGAGATTGATAACAACTAAAATAATGACCAATAAATGGAGAGAAAATTAGGGTATTGATATCCTATCAGTTATAGAATACTATAATTAAGGAAAATATATTATTAATTAGTTGATTAAAATTATTTTAATTTATTTTCCTTTTTTTATTTATTTTATTAATTTATTATTTGTTAGAAATCTAATGTTATATGTTGAAAACGAGAAAGTGTTGTTATAACTAGTAATATCATTCTTACATATGTTGTTTATTAAATTTACACTTTCCTTTTTACTAAATGATAAATAATTCATTTTTGCAAGAACTTCATCATTTTAAAATATTTTACATTTTATAATTAAATTTATATAAGAAAAAATATATGTGACCGCGTAAAACACTAATAAATTAACTAGTTAAAGAATGAATTAGAGCAGATTTGAGGAAATATGATACCTTTCCCAGGATCTAAGATAAATAAATTAAAGAGATAGATTTGCCTAATTGACAAGCAAATAAAATATTTATTTTGGATATGTTTTTTTGGGCAATGAAAGTCAGAGCATAAATAACAGACCAAGTAACATATGTTTAATTCATTTTTTCACTCAAGTAATATTTTTTAGTCTACTCATGATGTTTCCACTTTAAGCATGCAGGATAATGAGGACTCATTATATATATTACTTTAATATGTATAATTAAAAAACGTAAAAATGTCCCCAACCTTAGCTTATCAAAACATGAACCGGATTAGAAGCAATTATTTCAAGAATACTCAAATCTAGGGGTAGAATCCTAGATTTCTCTTTTACTAATTTGAAAGTAGATGTAGGGCGTGAGAACGAACTAGTCCAACACTATGATAATCTTACATACCTGGAAGAACAAGGTCCTTGAAGAAAAACTTGATTAGAAGCCTTGAAACTCTAGCTTGAAGGTAAACAATCAAGAAAACCTTTTTTGAGATTCTTGAATTAGTTTCTTGAAATCTCTATGGCCAAGAATTATGATTTTCATCAGTGATTCATAATTGTATGGAGGAATTTGAGTTGAAAAGAATGGAATTCTTGGAGAAAGACTTACCTTGAAGAAGAATAATGAAAAAGATTGAAAGGATCTTGAATGAAGTCTTCTACTTTGATTTTTCCTTAGGGTTTTGCCCTAGGGTTTGAGAGAGAAGAGAATGATGGATTAAAAGAAGAAAATATGATTGTTTTAAGCCTTTTATTAGTCAAGAAATTCGTTTAGGGTTTTCTTGGAGATAAAAAGACAAAAATGACGCTTTTTAATGTTCCCCGTCAGCTAATTCATAACAACATTGTATCAAGTTACTAAAATAGTCATAACTTTTTACTCAGAAATTGGATTGACACGAAATTTATGGCGTTGGAAAGTATATTCAAATAAATTTAATTTGATAGGTTATGGCCCACGTAACTCCTTATATTCTAAGAGATATGGTCGTTTGAAGTTGACCCAAGTAGAATCATACATCAAAACTTAATCGATAAGGAAACTTCAAGAACATTTATCAAGAACTCATCAAGAAATTAAATTGCTCAATATTTATGGATATATTTGCAAAAGAAACTCATGATTGGTGTGTGGGTGAACAAACCCAACACTATGGAAGCTTACATACCTCAAAGAACTAGGTTCTGGGCGAAATCTTGAATTTCTTGAACGAACGCTTGAAACTTTGAACTTTTTCTCCTCTTGAATCTTCTCTCTAAAACCCTAAACGCTTTTGGGGACGAATGAAACTAATTCTAATTAGTTTAGACCCTTAATTGGGTGTAATTCACATTTAGAATAAGTGGGGGTAAGGAAAAGACTAAAATACCCCTTCTATTTTTGGGTAACTTTTCTTAAATGGATAGCCTGACTTCAAAAGGGCATATCTCCCTCATACGAGCCCAAAAATTAGCAAACTCGGTGGCGTTGGAAGAGGATTCAAAGATATTTCATTTGCTATCTTGTGGGTCTCCTAACTCATCCTATGCTAAAAGTTATGGTCGTTTGAAGTTGACCCAAAACTTAAAAGAACTAAGGAATGACATGAATGAATTCTCTTTAATTCTTTTTGGAACTCAAGGTGCTATATCTAGTGACTTGACCTTAATACTTAGAAAAATTTAACTTCCTTGGTAAAATCCTACTCACAACAAAGGATGGTTCGAGTCTTAGCTCAAAAAATTTCTGGGGTGTTACAACAACTCAACTCAAGGACTTCATGGGTAACATGTAATAGTCTCATGATTAGGAATATAATCTCAAAAGGATAAGGAACTCAATACTCAAGATTTAGAACTGGAAGATACTACTCCTCTCAAAGATGTTCAATTTATGAAGTTCATGTGGAATTTATGGGCATGAACTACGTGACTCGAGGGTCTACATAACAATATGGAACTCATGTATACGACTATTCTCATTCTCATACTTACTTCCTCAAAACTTAGTTCAAATCGCTAGTTGATCTCAAAGGATTCACAATTGAACTCAAAGACGTTTTTCTACTCTTAACTCTCTCTTGAATTTGAATTATGAAGTATGAATTCAAGAGTTATGATTTATGATATGAAGGATCTCGATGATAATATAGACTCATTTATACATTCTCCTCATTCTCATACTCACTTGCTCGAGTCTTGAAACAAGTTATTAGAAGTTGTAGAAGACTTCTCAAAAAGACTCAAATGGACTTTATCAAAATGTTCGAAAGACTTCTCAAGACTAAACTCTTAAATATACCTTGAATTTGAATTATGAATTCAAGGTTGTGATTCATGTTATGAATGATTTCTAGATGTTTAGAAGTAGTTTAGAATCTGTAACACCCTAGAAATTTTTTCGAACTAAGACTTGTACCGTTCATCATAGTGAGTGAGATTTTACCGAGGAATTAAAATTTCTTAAGTGTTAAGGTCACTAGATGTAGCACCTTGAGTTCCAAAAAGAATTAAATTGGAAATAGCAAAATCTGAAATTTTGCAAGTTAAGCTAAATATGAGTTTTGGGTCGACTTCAAACAATTATAAATCCTAGCTCAGGATGAGTTAGGTGTTCTACCAGATACTGTAGGAAATATATTTGAATTATCTTTCCAACGCCATCGAGTTTTCTGAGTTTCGAGGTCGGATGAGTGAGATATGACCTTTTGAAGTTAGGCAGCCCAGTTAAGGAAAGTTAGCCGAAAATAGAGAGGGGTATTCCAATCAGATTTAATTCATTTTTAGTAATATTTTAAGGGTCTAATCCTATTAGGTTCAGTTTTATAATCCTAAAATTAGCCTAGGGTTTTAGTTGAGAGTTCAAAAAGAGAAAAGAAGAGA